CTCCTCCTCGGTTGGGTAATGGCGCAGGAGGTTGGCGGCCGTGGCGAGGATGGAGGCTCCCCCGGCTCCGGCAACCAGGTAGAAGCTGACGGCGAAGGTGACGTAGACTTGGGAGCCGTGGTACTTTTTGTGCTGCTGCTGCTGCGCCAGGATCAGCTCCGAGGCCCAGTAGCAGAACCCGATGACGGTGGCGCATTGCAGGACTGCGGGAGACCAAAAACGAATCCATTTGGGACGCGGCTTTCATAGGAAATTCGGCAAATTGGGTGCTGGGCAGGGGTTTATAGCAAAGGGTGACAGCCTGGGGTGGAAATTTCACCCCAAATCTGACCCAAAATGTGGTCAGAAAGAGGGGAAAACCGCAGGGGAGGGTCCTGGGGGGAAGAACAAACCCAAGCGGTGACCACAACCCAAGCTGGATGGTTTTAAAGGGTTGTTTCTGTCCCCCACATTGGTCTCTGGGGCAGGTTGAGGGCTCAGCCTTGCTCTGAGCCGCTCAGGGCTGACGTGGGTAATTCGGTCAGGGATAAGGGGGATTAAAGCTCTTCCGGCCTCGGGAGGTGGAAAAGGTGACCCCCTGTGCCAGAAAGGTGATGCAGGACCATGTGGAACAAGAAAAACCCATCAGCACACCTTTAATATCCATCTAAAACACCCTCAATGGCCACTCTTGACCTTCACCCCCAGAAATTTCACTCCCATTTCAGCCCCCGTCACCCTTAGGGCCCAAAACACCACAAAGGGGATGCTCCGTGGGTACCAAAAGCCGAAAAGGAGCCTTCAAGGGGGGGTTCTTCTCCATCTCTTAGAGGATTTGGGATGGAAAACCGAAGCAGCAGGGGCCCTCGGTTACCTGTGAGGATGTGGGCGAAGGCGTAGCGCCGCGTGATCTTCAGCGCCGGGTGCTTGGGGCCGAAGACGTCGAGGAGGAAAGCGGAGAGGCTGCAGAGGATGCCCAGGAAGCAGAAGGCGGCGATGACGCGGAGCAGCAGCACGGTCTGCGGGTTCATGCAGTAATCTGCCACGAGAGAGGCCGTGAGCACCAAAGCCTCCTCTCTGCCACCCAAAGCAGCGGGCGCAGCAAAGCCTGCTCTGATCTCGCCCAGCGTTTTCCCCTCCGAGGTTCACAAATGTGACAGAAAGCAGAGGCCAGCAGGGCGCTTTGAATCAGGATTTGGGAAACCAACGGCCTTTATCCGGCAGCTGCTGGCCCCGCCACGAATTTCACTTTATAAACTCTTATTACTGTGGGAATTAAAGCTAAAGAAACACCTCCAACACGCAGAGTCCGCACAGGCTGCACCCGTTCCTCGTTTAAAGCAAAGCTGGAAGTGATACTGGAAAATCTTTGTGATGAATGCCACAAGGAGCCCCAAATTGTAGCCCTAGGGCTACAAAGATGATGGAGGGAGTGGAGCATCTCCCTTCTGAGGAGCGGCTGAGGGAGCTGGGGCTCTTTAGTTTGCAGAAGAGGAGACTGAGGGGAGACCTCATTCATGGTTATAAATATTTCAAGGGTGAGTGTCACGAGGATGGAGCCAGGCTCTTCTCGGTGACAAACAATGATAGGACAAGGGGCAACGGACACAAACTGGAACACAGGAGGTTCCACTTCAATGTGAGAAGAAACTTCTTCTCAGTGAGGGTGACAGAGCCCTGGCCCAGGCTGCCCAGAGAGGTTGTGGAGTCTCCTTCTCTGCAGACATTCAAAACCCGCCTGGACGCCTTCCTGTGTAACCTCATCTGGGTGTTCCTGCTCCGGCAGGGGGATTGGACTGGATGAGCTTTGGAGGACCCTTCCAATCCCCAGCGCTCTGGGATTCTGTGATTCAAGCCCGTTCGTTACCACATCCACATCCGTGGAGGGGCTGGGGGTTCAGAGTTGCTCCCCCTGGCTCCCATGAGCTCCCAGTTGCCTCCCCACCATAAACCAGAAGGTGTTTTAATCGGTAAAGCCAGGGGTTAATTTAGCAGCACATTAAAAAGCGCTAATAAAAAACTGCTGGGCTGCTCTCTGGTCCTAACGCAGCCGCCCGCTGGGCTTTACCATCCAAACTGAGCCTCTGAAAGCTTCACCCACGTTAGTTCCCCGTTTTAACTCATCAAATGTGGGGGTTCGGCTGCCTTCGAGCTCAGTAAGTTCAGTTTTTGTGCTGTTCCCCTCCCTGCCTGGTTTAATGTCACCAGAGACGCTCATGCGGGGGGGGGTTTGAGCCCCGTTTTGCCACCAGTGACCCCACACACCCGTTTATTGCTGAAATTCGGAGCTGGATTTGGAGGCACCGAGCCCTGCACGGCTTCAGTGCTAAAATGGGGAGAAAACACCCGGTTTTGGCGATATGAAAAGGCAGAGATTAATAATTTTTATGAAAAGGTACAAGGGGGGTGGCTGAGGCCTGGAAGGGGCC